CTCTTTGAGGAAGGCTATATAAGCATCTACTGTTATTTTCGTACCGTCAAGCACTCTCCACGGACCAACCTTGATGCCTCCAATAATACCATCCCAAATTAAAATACCTCCTCCTCCTTCTTGGTGTCTAAAGCGTTGATGGCGATCTTGTCCATTTCCGACCCAACTTTTGCTTCAACCATCAGGGCCATCAAGTGTTGCATGACTTTCATCTGCGAACAGAACTTTCGGGAAATCGACCTTCATGTTCTCCTTTGCCCATTTCAAATGCATTTGTATGTGTACTTTTGTGAATCGAAGCTTTGTCACTGGTCTCTCAAAATGTCCCGACTTTTTTTTCAGAAGACGATAACGAATATTTCTGGACGCTGTTGCTTCTCCAGTGCTCCTGAAAAGTGTTCCACTGGTCAGACTTGGATTATTTACAGTTTCACGTTTCGTCCGTGACAAAGAACGTCAAGAAACAACCCTTGTGTGACCCTTATCGGCCTTCAGACGTGCCCTCGTAGGAGATGCAACACATCTTTTCACAGTTTGGTGATATCTTGCAATTATTTTGGATATTTCTAATGTAGATTTGCCTTTAGAAAGTTCAGATGTTAGAACATCTTTCTCAGAAGGGGTCAAGTTACATTTGCGCGCCATAATTGCACGATTAAATAACACTCATTTATAGTCTGGAACACCTCTATATGGTGTTAATATTGCAAATGGCTACCGTTTGTTTCCTGTTGCGCAGAACATACAGCTTTTTATACATACTGTGCATATACCTATTCTCATTATACTGTGAAAATTTCGTTAAATTCCAATTCGTAGTTTTTGGACAAATGAAAAAATGTCACCTCCTTAATAATTTAAAATCCTGTATACGGTCCCACATGCGTACATGCGAGAAATGAGGCTGCCCAGTTCGTGTGGAATGTTTTAGTCGTTAGGGATTGACTATAGTCCAACCTCTTCAAACCAATGTGTGATGTATTCGCGCCTCCAGTAGAATGAAGGTCTAGTTTAAAACCGAACAAAACTGCGCGTCGTACATGGGGTCAGAGGCAAAATGTAGTCCTGTCTACTCGATATTTCCCTTTTAGAGACACCTCAAGCGAGAGGGATTAATCGTAGCCATCCCTTATGGGAGACGTACTATCTTGATTAAGGTCCCCTCTCTTGAAATGTATAAATACGTTATCGCTTGTCGGACATTCGGTTTTGAAGTATGAGTTAATGAATATTCATACCTCAAAATCGCTAGGCCGACTGGCGATAATCTATTTATCCGCACGCTATTGGAATGGAACGAGATTAAAGTAGGATTCCAACAAGTATATGTGACCAGAGGCCAAAAATAGTTTTACCTCCCTCGGCTTTTGGCTTTTTCTGGATGTTACAAGCGAGAGCCCTCTACACTTGAGGAATACTCCCTCGTGGACGAACCCCTAGGACTGGACGTAATTAATGATACGTGACCAAAGGGCGGTAAAAAAAAACCAAGATGGCGATATTACTTTCAATAATTCATTGAATTATGACAACAGGTCTTCTCAGACTTTTCGGCGCCATAACAATATCCTCCAAAAACATTCTAGTATAGATGTTCAACGACGCAATATATCTTCTACTGACAATGCGATTATCTTTTGTCTATGATTTTCAGAGAAGCTGTTGTTTTATAGATTTTTTAAAAGCTTCTTTTGACTAAACTTTTCCCTGTTGTTGAACGAGATGAAAAACAAATGGAAGACAGGAAATGGAAACGACGAACCGGAAGGAATAAAGGCAACTAACTTTTACAATGAAATTCAGTGAGTCGGTAAGAGACATTATGACGAAGCACACAAACAGAATTTAAACAGAAATACGTGGACAAAAAATAAAACTTATACAGTGCTTATAGGCGGTTCATCTCCACTGAAATTTAAATTGTTGGCCTGAAAATATCTTCCGACTTTATTTTCAGCAAAAGAATTTAAAAAATAAAAGCAGTTTTTTTAGTAAACTTGAATATAATACAATACAGTCTTATTCGCAGATTCAAAACAACGAATTTTCCATTACGTAAGGCGGAGTTTTTTTCCATAAATAATTCTCAAAATAATCGCTCATCGTCTCTTACTCCGCTAATTTTGTCACCGGTAAAAGGTTAACACGTAAAAACACCGGCTTGACACACTTGTGTCTCTGATGACCCCTAAATAAAATTAAACTTCCTCGCACGTTTCCCCAGTAATAGGGGGTTCATAACTGATGGGAAAGCGGAAAGAGATAGACATATTATCTCCTCTACAGAAAACCAATGACATCACTAGCAATAAATATACAAGCCGTTTAAAACAGTTTCATTTCATTATATGGATTATATATGAATAGCGGCTCAGATTGGGGAATCGGAGAGCCGAGTTCGAATATCAGTCGAATTCCATTACATTCACTTACGTGCTAATACCCTTCGGAAAGGTATGAATCCTTTTCTTCTCTCTCCAGGTATGGGTAAACAGCAAAACAGACTGGGATTTGTCTGTCCTTCTTTCCCTCAATCTGCCCTGTGAATAAGAATAAATATCTGTTGTCAAATTCCCTATAATAAAAAGAAAACAAGCTCATGTTTGTTTTTTTTTATCTTCCCTAGGTTTGCTGCTGTTTCTGGATAGCTGCAAGAGAGAAAAGATCTTACGCTACATCATCTCATTTACCAAGATCCAATGACATCACTGGCAATAAATATACAGGCAGCTTAAAACAATTTCATTTCATTATATCTAATATACTAATGGCCTCCATGTGTTTTTTCGTCCAACATATATTGGCATATGTGACAGAAATGTGTTGTCATTTCCTAGATTATTACTTTAGTATTGCGTGGAGTAATGGATAGCGGCTCGGATTGAGGAATCAGAGAGCCGAGTTCGATTATCGGTCGAATTCCATTACATTCACTTCGGAAAGGTGTGAATCCTCTTCTCTCTCCAGGTAAAGAGCAGAACAGACTGGGATTTATAGCCTTTGGTGGCAACGGGTCTAGGAGAAGGAAAACTCTGAAATTCAAACCGGTCTAGAGAGGGTTGGGCTCCTTCAGTCCATCTCGCCCAAGAAACATCACTTCTGCTGCGACTACGATACATTTGTTGCCCCTACGACCCTGATGGGTCACAGGATTCATGATCGTAATTGCGTTAGCATAGGTGAGTGACGTAGGTGCTTATTCAGAGAAAGCCGAGAGTATGTTTCGACTTACACGGAAAATCACGTTACGACGCACTCCGTATTCAATATCATTTATTCTAGCTGTACTTGAGCCTCTCTTTTAGTCTGGTGTTGAAACTTGACTAATGCGTGGAATAATAATACAACACAAAATGTACTTAGAACGACGTGTTCCAATATTTACATATAGTCTTTTTGTATATTCTTGGGAAGACCGTTCCTGGAGAATGTGTTGACTTAGTCGCAGTCGGGCAGAGTCTCTGGTTGAATCTCTTGATTCTCTCCTCGTCTTCCCTGTACCAACCATATTTATATGGTCAGTACTCACTATGCAAATTAGGTGGATCCTACTACAACATCTGGAAAAAAAATTTGTAATATCCTTTTATTTTCAAGATACATTTTGACATTTCATTTTCCGTTTATTTGAGAAGTCCTCGACTATTATGACACCTGCTATTCTTTCGAAATATCACCAGTTTAAAGGTTTGTTTAGTTTCTTCCCAATTTGAATGAGTTGCATACCGCGTGGTTGGTGTTGCGAAGCGGACAGAACTGCAGAAGACGACATGATTTCTAGGAGAAGTAAGTAGAGAAGCATGTCCGTCTTAATTACTGGGGAAACGTAAGGGGAAGTCTAATTTTATTTAGGGGTCACCAGAGGAACAAGTCTGTTCTGCTGTTTACCCATACCTGGAGAGAGAAGAAGAGGATTCATACACCATTCCGAAGGGTATTAGCACGTAAGTGAATATAATGGAATTCGACTGATATTCGAACTCGGCTCTCTGATTCCTCAATTTGAGCCGCTGTTCATATATAATACATATAATGAAATGAAACTGTTTTTAAACGGCTTGTATATTTATTGCTAGTGATGTCATTGGTTCTCTGTAGAGGAGATGATATGTCTATCTCTTTGCGCTTTCCTATCAGTTATGACCCCCTATTACTGGGGGAAACATGCGAGAAGTTTAATTTTATTTAGGGGTCATCAGAGGCACAAGTGTGTCAAGCCGGTGTTTTTACGTGTTAACCTTTTACCGGTGACAAAACTAGCGGAGTAAGAGACGATGCGTAATTATTTTGAAAATTATTTATGGAAAAAAACTCCGCCTTACGTAATGGAAAATTCGTTGTTTTGAATCTGCGAATAAGACTGTATTATATTCAAGTTTACACTAAAAACTCCTTTTATTTGAATGAGTTGCATATTTTGTCGATGTGGATGTCTCTTGGGCGAAATGGTCTAACAGAGCCCAACCCTCTCTAGGCCGGTTTGAATTTGCCTTTGAGTTTGCCTTCTCCTAGACCGGTTGATGTGATTCACGGCTTGTGCCACGAGTATAAGGTGTGTTATTTGTATGAAGCCACAACGTTAATACCCACGTTACACCAAAAAGAGAAATAAGAATATTCATATTTGACGCCTAACAATTTAAGAGGTCGTCATCCGTTTGTATGCGGAGGCACAGTGAAGTAATGGATAGCGGCTCGGATTGAGGAATCAGAGAGCCGAGTTCGAATTCCAGTCGAATCCATTACATTCACTTACGTGCTAATACACTTCTTTTTCCCCCAGCTATGAGTAAATAGCAGGACAGACCGCGTTATATAGCCTTGGATAGCAAATTGTCTAACGCAGAAAGAAATGGCAACCTACTGCCGGAAATAATCTGCCATCGAAAGATACATGAACGCCTAAGCGTGTATCACGCATGGCACATAACTGACTGACTTCTGTTTGTGTATCACTAAACCTATGTTCTCAAATACCTGGGCCACTATGTATCATTCGATTACATTTTGTCAAGTTGGATGGACCCAAATCTTTTCAGAAAATTAGATAGATAGATAGATAGATAGATAGATAGATAGATACGGCGTTTATAATAGCACATAAATAAATAGGTAAATTTCGTTAGACGCAAAGAAAAGATCGCAGAACTGCATATAATATCAATTCTGCTGCGATGGCAGTGAATGCTAGACAGTATCTGTTACAGATAAAGCGGAAAATTGAAGCACCGAACAATTCTTAAGGAAAATGGAAACAAAAAGGATACATATTTAAAACCAGAAAGAAACGGTTAAAATTTTGAGATACATAATGAGGCAACAGGGTTTGGAGAATTTGGTGCTCAGAGGATATTTTGAAAGCCGAGGCGAATGAAAGAATCAGTTAATAATCTGCCTAACCTGCATGGGTCAATGGATATCAAAACAGGGAATGATAACGATGTACGACTTCGCTCTCTGATCTCACAGTTGCATTTTTATAAGTAACTGGCCCTGATCTGGCATCTCGTCTGTAGTCGCTCTCTCACAGACGTGTCGTAGCCTCTCTCTGTCTTTTTTTTACAGATACTTTCATGGTAATTGCTCCGATGAGCTTCTTTCGATGGTTCCCAGACTTCATGAATTCAAGCGTCCCACGAGGCTGGCATCCCGCTCTCAGCCTTTCACTGTCGAAACTACTAAATGTAGCCGTCTTTTCTACTCCAATAGCTTCATATCTCGCACCTCTTGCCTGTGGAACTCCCTTCCCCTTTTCCTCTTTCCCTGATAGCTATAATCTCCAACTATTCAATTGTAATGTCAATCGACATCTCCAGTTGCCTTGATCTATCCACTATTCTTCCCCTCATCCTTTCCTCTATCACTCCTATCTGCTCTCGCTCCAAATCCTCTGTAAAACCTCGCGTGCTAGTGGCTTCCTGCCTTGCTAGGGGTGGGGAATGCTTAAAAAAAAGTGTCCAAATACCAAACATTTCTCACCCCGACATAACATATCACATGCTACCAACCTATGATTAAGTTCACTCCATTTCCATTTTTTTTTCTTACTTTTCTTCTGATTTTTACATTTACTTCAAATCAAAGCAATCGATAATCGATATTTCCGAGTTCTTATCCTTCCGTTCGATGAAAAGTGAGGCACATTAACACAATCATCAAAGGTTACGATATAAACTGACTGGGCTGTGAAAATCTGATCACCATATTAATGATTGACTGATCGAACGAACATTAAAAAGACATTGTTTCATAACCAGGTTGCATTTTAAGGTTGATAGACATGCTTAGATATTTCATTCTTATTCAATTAATTATATCAGTATAAATCTCTCTCTCTATATATATATATATATGTCTGTGGGTGTGTGTGTGAGAGAGAGAGAGAGAGAGAGAGAGAGGGAGTGTGTGTATGTTTTGTGATGTCAACGAAAACTCGGTGCTACTTTTCAAATGCCAACGAATACTCGTTATCACTTTCGTAATGCTTGCTGTAGTAGAGACTTTGTAATCGCAGATACAACTATAGTACGGTGTTAAACAATGCTGGTGCCAGACGTCTTCGAATAACTCTCTTAATAATAAATAATAGTACTTCCTCGATACTACTCGCCCGAACAGTTATCCATAGTGACCAGAATAGAGTATAATTTAGAGAAGAGAATAGAGAATAGCGGTCCAGACAAACTTAAGCGCCCATTGATTATATTTTATTTTTTCCCCAGGAAAGGGATTTTCCCGGTTCCTTTTCTTTTATTTTCGTTTATACTTGGAAATGGAATCAATATAATCAATGGACTCTTAAGGTTTTCTTTTTTTTAATTTAATATATATATATATATATATATATATATATATATATATATATATATATATAGGGTGTCCATAAAGTTCGTGTGCACTTTATTTCTAACGCAAGTACAAATAAAGTTATAATTTTTTAAATTGCATACAAACTTTATGGACACTATATATATATATATATATATATATATATATATATATATATATATATATTAAAGACATTTTATGTTTAACGTTATTTTATAGATACAAGTATTTAAGTAAATGCTCTGTTTATAATAAACAGTATTAAATAACATTTACCGGCCTGAATTGAGAAATTTTTCATAGAAAATATTCGTCCTTTGAAAATTTCTCGGACATTCAGGCCGGTAAATGTTATTTAATACTGTTTATTATAAACAAACATTTATTTAAATACTTGTATCTATAAAAAAGAACGTTAAACATAAAAATGTCTTTAATAAATAAATTGTCGGGCTTTTGTCCATTTCTTTAATATATATATATATATATATATATATATATATATATATATATATATACGTGTGTATGTGTGTGCGTATGTGTGTCTGTGTGTAATCGCAATGATACATAGCTATGCGATGAATATATATGTAAATGTGTGTGTGCATGCGTGTATGACGATTACAGACAGACAAACATACGTGTGCAACTATATATATATATATATATATA